AATTTTCATTGGTTTTTACAAGCTTGAAGCAAAAGAGGACGAAATATATCAATTTTTCTGTTTGAGTAAAAGTCGATATTCGAAAGAATTTGATAATTTATACTAGGTATTTGAATACGTATCAATAATGGCAAACAAACAGTAAGAATCTTCATTGAAAACTTTATTTTACTGAGTCTTGTAGATTACATAAATAACGCAAACTACTAACTAATCTTCACAGAATTGCACATATTGTAAAATGACTAACATTTCGATTGTTCAACGTATTCTGGAAGCATATATGAATATTATCGTTTTACTTTATTTGAAATATGTAATTGTTTTTTGTTCTTTTACGAAAATTTCAATGTCAGATAGTTTTTGTATCAACCCCAACGAAGTGTGTATAAAATTTTTATCAGCTCACTTTCATAATCAGTTATCAAATACAGTTTCTAATTGGCGATATTCCATCTTTTAATCGATAATTCTCATTCTTCGTGTTATGTAAATTAATGAACGACTTCTGTAATATACTCTGTAGAATGATTTTTAGTAAATAAAAATGGTATCCGAATTGAACTCAGAACTCGTAAGTTCCACTTCGTGTCAAACAGCAAGATCCAAGCCAACGATAATTCATAAACGCTTGAACGATTACGTTTTAGACAATGGGAGAAAACAATCTGTTACATTAGATGCACTAGATCCAAGTAGATACAACGTACTCAAATGTAAGATTTCGTGTCAGCGAAAGTTGGTAATGTTGGGTTTCGTGGAAACGTAAAAGCATTCTCTCGATCTGATAATTGACGATGTGTTGGTTTTCTCTTTTGAAGTTAATCGTCGTGAAAGAACGTGTGTTTAGATGGTTCTAAAGTGAAAAGACGATGAATGAAATTAGCTTTACGAAATCTTCGACGCGAGATACATTAATTTTCATTATTTGTGGAAGAACGCGACGTGCATGTCGAATGATCCGTTGACCACTGCTGTTTTGAAGAAAGCAGACACAACACGAACAAATGTAGCAATCACAGAAAATACGTTTATCGAAAGTTGTGATCATAATACGTGATTAATGTTATAGCACAAAACAAGAATGCGCAACATGTTTCCGTCTTGAACTGGTGTCTATCTAATCACTAATAAGTAGACTACGGATGTTTATGAATGCATATCTTGGACAATGCACTAAAACAAAGATTTTAATAAAGTTTAATATTATTTATATGTTATTACTAACGAAGTAAAGTCTCTAGTATAGAATTCAAAATTCAGTCCTATTTTAATTATTAGATATTACCTGAAATTGTAAATTTGCATAAATTTCCGGTATCTATTAATGACTTAATCGTAAAAGCTAATATGAAATATGGTTCATGTATCTAAAGACACTAAGGACATCTTTGTAGTCTGGAGATATCATACAAAGAGTGTGATTGTGAATGTATGTTATCGAAGATTTTGATTGAGTATTATTATATTTTGTTCTTTATATTCTCTACGTAATTTCCATTCTTATTACCAAATCATTAACCCTTAAATGCTACCATGGGTGAAACACCCCTTGCGATTTTTATTTTAATACTACTAAAAAATGTAACAACTGGTAACATTAATTTTTTAAGTATTTATTCATATTGTCAATAGTGATAATATTATTACAAAACACATCAGTTCTTTCTCATATTTTGAAAACTACACGGCACGAACGAAGTTAGTTTCGGGTTACTTTTATGGTAGTTTTTAATGGTTAAATGTCATTCAGCCAATCGATAACAGATTTTGCAATTCGAAAAATTGTTTCTGGACGTTTCGAAATCTATCCCTTGTCTATTTGTTCGCGCAATCGCGGAATGTTTACCTTTACATCGACATTTCGTGGCTTTATTGTTTTCCTTCCCAGATGCATCTATTTATAAGTTAAAACGTGACACCGAGTGTATTGCGCATTATGCCCACTGTCTCAGATAATGCACGAACCTTGAGTAAAAATGTGTTCGTTACTTATCTTTTTTTTTTATTATGTATAATATCGTACATACGGCAGCTTGTTTTCACTTTTATCACCTTCTAATTGTGTGCTTATCGCTCGATTAATTGCATCTGGCGTCCATGTAACTGTTTGTGCTCCGTTTCATTGCACCCACGCGATACTTTAATCAGTCTGATTATACTTGTTTGCCAATTCAATTTTTGAATTGAAGACTATCACATCCGTCGTTCAACTCGTGAAATTTCCAACGTTACGATTTTATCGATCTGTCTATTAAATGCTTCTTCTAGGATAGAATAATAGAATTTACTTTCACGGAATAGAATATTATATTTTTGTAAAATTATTTTTAATTGGTTGATTCGTCTATTAAATGTTTTTTCTAGGATAAAATAGATAAATTTATTTCCACAGAGTAGAATATTCTGTTTTTATTAAATTATTTGCATTAAAATTTTATAAAACATCACGATAGAAGAAACATACAAAACTAAAAGTTTAATTCAGTTAATAAGTTTCGAGCCGTCTAGAAATAATTTTAATATTCAATTCAACACGCACTTGAATCACTCGTCCATATGCACTTACCGACTGTTAAGAAACAAAACAACGAACCAGGGAATTTGTAAAATATAAATATATTTTATCAGCTGTGTATGTAAATGTTTGAATAAAACGGCAAAAGCATGTACCAACTTCTCGTTAAAAATATAAAAATATATGTGAAATCGACATTCGTTAATTATTGTACAAAAATACAGTACCAGATATGACATCCATAAAGAATATTTTGTTTCTTATATTGAATTGATGTTGTTCTAATATTGAACTAATTGATGTTTAAAATAGTACCAACGAACCCAATATAATAAAACAGCACGACACGCTTTAAAATGCTTCAGACCGTGAGGTAAAATTTCCTTGAATACGCCTCGTGCCTTTTTAAATCATCGACTCGATAGAAGAAAACAAAGAAACGTGTAGGTATATCGGATTTCATCAAAGTACAAATTATCGATTTCTCATATTTTTAAAAACACGGTTCGGGTTACATGGTAACTGGGCGGCGGCAGATAATATTTTTAACGGAAAAACGATAAAAGAAGTTTCCTCGACCTCGCGGTTTGGCCTCGTTTCGCGCTTATACCATTCCTCATGCTGCATCGTTCGGCCTCGTTCTCTGTGTTTTTCTCATTTCCTGTCCCGAAAGGAATAAAAACACCGGCCAGACGATTTTTCCCCCTTTTCAAGATGCTGCCGGCTCCTAAGCTTTTGGAGCAACGCAAACGAAATGAGTGTCGCATTTATATATTATGTACATTTTTGATCAATAAACTGCATATTTTGTGCGTTTATAGCATACACGACTCTGCAAAGTACAGTACATTAAAGTGCTTAACCCCAGAACTATACTGTGGGGTCGTCGGCGACTCCACCAAATACAGAAAGCATGTCGAACGAAGACTCTTTTAGCATACAGTTCAAAATAACTTCTGTATCTTGATTTCTCTTCTTTGAACGAAACGAACATACTACAGTTATCTCTTCTTAAGATATCTAAAGAATTGTAGAAAAGAATGTTTCGGAAATGTTGAATAATATTTAGAATATTTAGATTTTATTTTGGCTCGTCTGCATATCGAATGATAACCCCTTTTACCATAAACCTCAAAATAACTACATTATATTTTGGTTTCTTTTCGTGAAATAAAAAGGACAAGCTGCAGTTTTCTTAAGATGTTGAAAGAAGAGTAGAAAAAGAATTTTTTGGAAATGTTGAGTACAATTTAGAATCTTTAGATTTTATTTTGAGTCACGTTCGCTCGAAAAATGCATCAGGGTTAATAAATTTTAATGATGTGTTTTTTGTGTTATTTGAAATATAACAGAATCCTTAACAGCATAGACAAATTGCTGTTTGGTTCCAAATTCTGTAAATTGATCTGTAAAGATTTATAGTCGCATAAATATCTACAGTCCACAGAGACGGTCATAAGAAAGTTCAAAACAAGAACGTGATGAAAAAACCAAGTAGGTATCATTTTTTTTCAACGACAGTCAATCGCGAAGATATTCATTACAACAACCCAAGGTAATAATGTAAAAATGATGAAGTCTTTCATTTATATTAATAAGATTGCACATAAAATAATTATTTCAACGAACTTAGGATTAGATTTTTAAGTTCTTTTTGCTGCATTTTCTAATAATTACTATTAAAATGTGTAGCCTTTGTATACATGCCATTAACACAAATATAATGAGGATAGTTTCGATAGATGTATTATTTTCTCATGTTATTGTCACGAGTGAAATTTCAAATATATTTTTCCCTTCAGCATATTTTCTACAGTAACTTAGATCTTCCAAGAACATTATTTGCACGAGCATTGTATTTACAAGTTAATACACTATAATTGATAGATACATGTAATATAAATTTTAAAAGTTTTTTTTTACCGTTGCTCTAGTTATTATACACTCGCCAGACAGTGTGTCGTTATAGCGTGATAAGGATTAGACTTCGTGGAATGAAAGTGAATTGCAATGACTGCTGTTTTGATCAGTGTATGCAAATAATACAGAGTATGGACTCGCTGCAGGTGTAACAGGTGATCAGTAGACGGCGTATTATATGCCTTTATAGTATATGCAAATATGTAAAATACAGTGAAACAATAAATCTACCAGATTTAATTCGTATTCTATTTCTGGGTTAATAAACATTTTAATTGACTACAACCAAAATGTTATGTTATTCTAGTTTTTGTAAACTAGTTGGTGAAAATTGAAATTTGCATAAAAAGCCATCAGCTATTTCTTTTTTATCAATATAATAGATATATGTTGGAATGTTCTGAGGATTAGCTAATTATTTCTTTTATATAATTTTTTTATAAATATGAAAAATATCGCTCAGTATGTGGGATGTTGGTATACTGTCATTCCATTGAATGATTCCAGTATTATCAACCTCCCGTCATTTATACATGTATCGTTTAACGTGTTTTCTTTGCAGATTTACGTGTACGTGACGAGATAAGGAAGACGCGCATTAAAGATGTTTTTACCCAACACCTTGGAAGTCTTTGTGAGTAGCTCTACGTTGTCTTTTTTTAAATGTTTATCGCAGATTCTGTACAACTGAATTGTGAAAGTAATGGATATTGATAGTATTTTTTAAATTCTGCACACGGCACCTGCGATTTTAAAAAGAATATAGTAGGAGATACCAATGTAAAGAGATTTTTGTTAAACTTTTAAACCGTAATTAAAAAATTAGCTGTAATTAAACGATTTTTACTTGTTTAATTTAATTATTTAACAACTATTAATAATGGACAAAAATCTAGCAACGAAAACAAATACTAAAATGTTAGGATTTTTACGAAAATCTAGACATTTTCAATTATTTTATAAAAGCTACAACTAATCACAAATATATTTTTTTTGGCAAACGACTATCAATAATAAATCTAGTTATAAATAAACGTAAAAATAATTGAAATCATGAATCAAAAAATTAGATGATTAAAGAAAATACAAAAACAGCATCGTTTTAGTCGGAATTGATACTACATTACTTTGATTAAACTACCAAATCCCAGTATTAATGTTTTCTCGGAAAACAAAGAGAAATGAAACTGGTGTGTATCCACATACATGTAGGTAATACCTACGATATTATTCATCAGCTGAGAAACACATGCTAGTAATCACGTAAGCAGCGCGTACCGTAAATTCCGAAACGTAAATACGAGCTTCATCGTCTTCTCAATTTTACTTTTAATAAAGCATCTACGGTGCATATCACTCACTCCCTAATAACTTTTAATAATATTTTCATGTTTCGAATTCTAGTACCTACAAATTTTATGGTGTGCGTATACATGCGTAATGTAACAGGTTTTCTTCATCAATGACATTTTTGTCAATTTTTTGTTATTACTTTTCATGTACAGATACTAAAATAGTGTTAACATATCGAATATTCAAAAGAGAATATGTCTGATTTCTTTTCGAAAGTGAAACACGCAGTTTCAAACAAAAGAACTGGAAAATAGCCTGCACGACGGTAAAGTTGACCGTCGTATCTCATTAACCTCTCCCAACATAATATAACTGTTGTTATCATACAGCGGTCCCCACAAAACTGCAATTTTGATAGGAAATCGTTTTACAAAATTTCGACACGTTCAACGCGGAATCTAATTCGGCTTATCTTTACGTTTCTGTCGATTGTATTACTTGAAATTCGAATTTCTTTACAGGACGGTCACTGGTAATCGACGTGGCGGTGAATGTGTTAAATATAGTAGATACAGTTCAGATGATAAAGTAAGCAGAAATGCTCCGTGTAGGCGTGAATTATTGTTACGAGCATAATACAACTACAGTAAATCATCTATGAGTGTTTACACGTCATCCCCACCACTGGAGAGTCTCTCGTGGAACCAGTCAAGCGCCCAGTGGTGGGGATGGCGTCTGAACACTCAGTGCGAAGGTGCCTTCGAACACTCATTGATCATTTACTGTATAGAGTAGAACAGAACTGTGTAACAATTGCTCACGAGCAGCAGTGGCTCGAATTTCCCTTCCCAAGGGTTACCCCCACTATGGTTCGAGGATTGAGTCGTTCGAGTTGCCAGCGGGAAGATTACTATTGGTGGGGACACTCGAGCAAGTCAATCTGGGAACCATAGTGGGGATAAGTTCGAGCCACTGCTGCTCTTGAGAAATCAGTTGCAAAGTTCTGCAGTAGAAGATCAAGGCCCATCTCACATCACAACAAAATCGAGAAGACGATCGATCTTCATAGACATCAAGTCATGGTGAAAAAATAAAATACCTTTTGCTACAAAAATGAATATTTTAGTAAAAATTGGAAAATATATTCCTTTTATGACAATAAAGGAATCAAATTGATTACGCATGCAGAAATTTCCAAAACCCAAAATTCCATCGTTGACGTAATAGGAAGAAAAAAATGTTTCTTTTTTCAAATTGTGATAAGGTTTGTATTATCTTTGTACTGACTTAAAAATTAAAGGGTCTATTTGGGGTCAAATAGAAGCGACTGTTTTTCAGAAGTTCTGGTCGAAGAGAGACGTCCCCGGAAATCCTAGTTCCGAACGATCAAGTTAACTAATTATTTATGCTGTTTATTACTACCAAATTACAGGTGTTATCATTGTTAATATTAAATAAACTGGGGGGGGGGGGGGGCATTCAACGTGGTAACGCGTTCCGGGAGTCCCTCATCAGCGAATTTTTATTCCACTCGGTGTACACGGGGCATCATCGTGTGTGTGTCATAGAGCCTGGCCTGGCGGGATATGAGTGCAAAGGAAGCTACGCGATGTGTACATGTGCATGCGCGCAACGCTCCCGTGCATCCGTGCGTGCGTCATATGGGCTCGTTGTTCGCCCGCCGTCGTCTCGAGAGCAGCGTGTGGGGCGGGGCTGGGCGGGGAGGGAGGGGCAAAACCCCGGCGAGACCAGCTGTCTCCACAAGTCTAGTTTTATTCGTCCCCTTCTCCCCTGTTACGCCTCGCCCCCTATCACGCGGCGTCTTGCTCCATCCCTCTCCGCGTTTCTCTTTCCACCCTCTTCGTCCGGCAGTCATCCAGCGATCGTTCTCGCGCACAGACACTCGCCCCCACAGTATAATTCCTCCACTTGTTCCGAAGGGCGGCCACTCTACAGAGAGAGATAGAGGGAAGCGTGTCCCTAAAAATAGGGAGATAGCCGTGGGTAAAACCACGGGGCCAACAGTTCATCGGCGTGAGGCGTTTGATGTTTAATTATACCCACGATTATTTGGACTGGGCTACAAGATCAGCCACCAGGACGTGACTTACGATCGGGGAAGTTGTAAAATCGGCAGAATACGGAAAACTGTTGTTATCGCGCTGCGTCGCGGTCGGCCACCATGTTGCTCTCGAGTTTAGGGTTGATCGGTGAGGTCTGCGCTTCTGCGGAGCAGAGTTGAGTAAAATTTTATTTGGATAATATACAGTGACAAATAACAGTATCTAAGGACGGTTAATGTGATTGAACAGTTGTTCGCTAAGTGTCTGCTCTTTCGAGAAGAAATATTATTTTGTTGTAAAAATTGAATTTTTCACGTTCAATTAATTGAAAATGCCGAGGTACTTTTGAAATATTTACTCGTTATTTGAATGCCTTTTATGTAGATAATGTATTTGTCCATCTCTGCTCCGGAGACGTTAACATGTTGACTGGCGTAGTGGTCGCCGATGACCGGAAAGATTACATTACATGAAGAATTTGAATATTATAAAAGAATATTTACGTTACAACGATGGAATTTCTGAACTGGAATATTTAACATTTTATCAATCCTGTACTGGTAGAGTAACAAGGAGAGCAATGAGAGTTCGAGTCAACACGGAAACATTTATATTGTTAACAATGAAAATTTAAAAAAAAAACATGTATCCTGTGATACTGTCCCACGAATAAAAATTGGGGCATTCAGCGTGTTAACCCGTAACTGTCAGCTTTCTTTTTTTCCTGAAATTTTTGTGTAATTCTAAACGTGAGAAATATCGAAACGGGTGAAGTACTGTAGGTGAATATTCGTAATCCCCAAATTTGGTACATGGCAGTTTATGGGTTATTGGAAAGCACAGGAAATTGTTGTCTCCCTTTTTTTTTACTTTTAAGATTATGTGACTCGAAGCAATGGTGAAAGTGCAAATTGAGAGTTTTGTAGATTAATTTCGGGAAAGTAGAAATGAGCAGAGACTGATTGTGATTAGCTGCACTAAAGTACAGTCAGTGATTAAATTATTACAGTCGTGCAAAAAATATGGTTTTAATGTTTGTCTACATAAATATAAAAAATATATATTATCATAAAAAATATGCTGAATATTTACTTACGACTCAATACGCATGTATAATTAAACTCCCTAGCATGCACGTATTAATCATTGTTGTCTTTTCGCGAAACTTGTATCAGTTTTCATCCAGACAGATTAATAACACGCTGGAACGTGCTGGAAGCGAATGTAGTGTCCCATTTTTTGGCCTTCCGAGCCCACACAGTAGCTTTTGCGAAACACCTGGAGCGTGTAACGCAACACGCGATCCCTCGTTGCGATATCAGCTGCCGTTAGTGTTTTGGCATTCAATCAAATTCAATGCACATTGCACTCATATGTATAAATTCCATTATCAAAAATAATCCGTATTGAATACGCGAATTGTTGCTCTAATACAATTTTAAAAAACGGGTTTTATTCAAATGTAATTTCTCGAGGGAGTGAAAAAAAAAGAACGGTTAAACTTACACCTGGAGCGTGTATCGCAACACGCAACACCTCGTCGCGATATCAGCTGCCGTTAGTGCTCTGACTTTCAATGCGATTCACTGCACATTGCATTCGTATAAATTCCATTAATGAGAATCATTCGGAAATTGCTGATATAACGAAATTTTTGATAATGGGAGTTATTCTGTTTTAATTATGTAAGAGAACTAAATTAAATATCATGGTGAAAAATTTGTTAAATTGAGGAGATGAATTATGGGAAGTAATGTTGAAAGAATATTTTGGAAATGGGAATTATTCAATTTTAATTATTTAAGAGAACCAAATTAAATACTTTGATAAAATATTTGTTAACCTTGGGTAATAAATTATGGAAAGTGCGTACGTGTTTTTTTTTCTTATGTATGAATATTTGAGCGGATAATTTCGCTGATAGATAGGTCGAGCATGACAACAGGAAACGATAATAATATGGTGGCGGTTAGATAAATGGAAAAACTGGAAAAGATATATTCTTTAAGTATCAATTAATAGAATTTTGTATTACTAATTTTTTGTACGGAATTAAAAGAAAAAGGTTATTTAGCACTGTTAATGCGATAAATGCCGTGCACATTGCTGCTAGATTCTGTTAATTTCATTTTTATGAAGTCGATGTATAGCAGTTCCGTTGAAAATTATGATAGAAATGTCAAAGATATTTTCTTAGCACCCAGCAAGCTGTATACAATACAGCTATTGTAATGAACATGCCAACATGATGAAATACAGAGTTGTTTAAATGAGATCT